TTACCGCCAGGGAGTGGGCAGATACATCTCCCCTGAGTCACGTGAGTGCCGTCTTCTCCACAGCCATCTGTTGCTCCCCACACAGCATCGGTCCGGCTTCCTTCCTCAGGCACCGGGGGTTTGGGGAGGGGTGGGGGGACGTCCCGAGAATGGCTGGGGGAGCAAAATGAAGCATTCCAAGGGGGCCCCGGATGTATGGAGACTCCCAGAAAGCAGCAAGCTTATCCACAAGTTGTCTCCTGTTACCTTCCTGACCAGGGGCTGGTGGAGGACCCGAGCTCAGCCCTTCCTGGTCCCCGAGACACCTCCTCTGTCCCAAGCCCCGGGGCAGGGGGGATGATCATTTAGTCGGCCAGCCGGCCAGGCCAAGCCTAAGGGATTTGCTGAGATCTGCCCCAGCACCACACCCGAGCCCTTCCCTGCAGCCCGGGTCAGTGGCTTTGGCCTTCATAGCCATGTTTCTTTCTCTTCTGGTCACAGGAAACGAGCTGCCGAGGAGGAGCCCTCCACCAGTGCTGCCGTGGCTGCCAAAAAGAAGCCCAGCCGGGGCTTTGGGGACTTCAGCTCCTGGTGATGGCCTCAGCTGGGGTGCCCTCTGGAGACAGATGCACTTCAGGCCGGCCAGCCTTGGCTCCAGGGGTTGGGATTGGGGAAATGACTTTGGGGCGGAAGTGGGGGGGGGTTCGGCCTGAAATAAAGCAGGATGCTTTTTTCATGTGTGTCCCCACTTGATCTCTGCCCTGTGTCACGTGATCTCCAGGGCCAGAGTTCCCTTGCCCCCAGGGTCATCTGTGACTGACTTGGTTCTGGCTGGAGCAGTCTGCACGTGACACAGAGTGGAGGGACCGGATCTTGTCCCATGATGGTCACGGTCCTCAGAGTGAAAAGCCAGAACATGCTCTAGAACCTCACAGGGATCTTAAAAAGTCCACTTCACAGGTACCACAAGATTGGGAAGGCAAGAAAAGACCCACAAGTCCTAGTGGACCACAAGCCCCAGATGAGTGGCTGTGATAAAACCCACTCCATCCCAGGCCCCTGTGGACGGCCCATGCAGGTGACCGACCTGTCTCCTCTGTCCCGGCAGCTCGCACCATGGCCCGGGCATTGGGAAGGGAGTGGGTGGTGAGCTGGAGAGCGTATTGGGGAGGGGGTGGCTGTGTCATTGGCCTCAAGTCCAGAGGAGCCTTGCCAGGGCTGGATGACCTTGGCTAGCATCCCGAGGGGTCACACTGTGAGAGGCAGATCCCAAAGTTGTCATGGCTGCCTTGGGAGGGTGGAGGCCCCCCTCCCTGGGCCCTTTCAAGCAAAGGCTGTGTGACTGGAGGAGAATGTCACAATCACTAGTGTGCATGGACACATTGCCTCCATCCCAGCAGGGACGAGCCCCACTGTCCCAGAGCATGGCCCAAGATGGCACCATGTGCCCCCAGGGCAACCCCCTTGAGTTCTCTGCCTCATTTCCTGGTCGTGAGCCGGATTGGCCCAGAGGGAACAGAGCCGCTCTAATGGGGTGCAGCTTGAGTAGACCTGGTCAGGACCTGTAGGGCAGAACACAGGCTCTCTTCCACCCCACCCCTCCTAATCCATGCTAGCTGGCCAAGCACTTGAGGGGGCTCTGGTCAGGCAGATTGGGGTTCAGTGCCTTTCTGGCATGCTGGCTGCAGGCCATGTCCCCCTGCCCGTGGCTTCCAGGCAGCTGCTGTGAATATGCTGCAGAGGGGACTTGTAACAATAAAATCACATGTCAAAAAAAAATAGTTAACAGACCAAATAAAGGGACTCCTCACGTGTTACCAAAAGCTTTATTCTGATATCTGGAAGAACAGATCCAGTCAAGCATAACCTCAAACAAAGGATGCTCGGTACCCACCAAACTGCCCAGCTGGCTGAAGCTACAGGAGAGGAGAAAGCTGTTGTTTAAAAAAAAAAGATGTCGTAACAGCTTTACAACCCAAAGTTAGAGCAGTGAAGGAATCCAGCATTCTAGGCCTTTGGGTCACTGGAAAATGGTCACTTCTGTGACAACTGTGACATGTCCTGGGCCGTAAAGGGGCAGCCCACAGGAAAGGCTCCCACCATGACCAAAGCCTGCAGCCCCTGGCGACGTGGGGATAGCCAGGAGCCAGTGTGGCAAGCAGACCACCAGAGGGCAAGGCTGGGGAGGGGACGGCCACAGGCTCACCCTTTCCATTAGAGAAATGCATTGTTAAAAAAAAAAAAATAGGAGCCTTGGCCCCACGTCCTCAGACGCTGGTTACAAGGCTCCCACGAGCACCAAGGACACACGAGTGCACCACGTTGGGGACGCTGCAGCCAAGCTGGCCCAGGGAACGTCTCAGACTCGCTCTGATCGATCAAGAGATCGAAGGAAGGACTTTTTTTTTCAAGGTAGAAAAATAATGCATCTAAGAAAAGAACCAGGGGCAGCTAGGTGGCGCAGTGGATAGAGCACCGGCCCTGAAGTCAGGAGTACCTGAGTTCAAATCCGGCCTCAGACCAAACACTTGACACTTACTAGCTGTGTGACCCTGGGCAAGTCACTTAACCCCAATTCCCTAAAAAAAGAAAAAAAACCAAATCAAAGCAAGCTTAGGAACCAACACGTTTGGATGAGCAGCTAGAGACAGATGGCGCCAGGAAGCCTCCCCGCAGCCCCCGTTGTTCTCCAAGGATGTGAGCATAAGACATACCTTCCTAGTAAACCCAAGACTTCCCAAGACTTCGGACGCCAAGAACTGCCCGGGGAGGAGGCCAGGATGCTGCCTGGGCGCCCAACGAGTCCTAAGAACCATTCCTGTGCACGTCAGTGTTCAGGAGAGGCCCGCTCGAACTGCTTGTTCAGTCCGAGGAGGAGGCCAGCGCCCGACAAGACGCTGCCACCGACAAAAACTGGTAAAAGCTGTGGTCTCAGCTACAAAGGGATGTCAGTGTTGTGACCAGTAGTACAAAGTGTGTGTGTGTGTGTGTGTGTGTATATACCACAGAGAGGACGGACAGAGCAAGTCGCAAAGGTGCTCCCGTTGGAGAGGAAGCAAGCTCACCCAAAACATACATGGAAACTTTAAACGTCATCTTAATATTATGTACAGACTCGGTTAGAAGAAAACACATCATAAAATTCTCTCTTCAAGTAAAGTTACAAGTTTTTGGAAGCAGGCTCAGTAACCAGACTGGCCTCTTTCCCAAATCCCCGGGATCTAGATGCTCCCTCTGCCCAAATCCCCCATCAGCCGTCTGTGCTGCCTCTCCGCAACGGGATCTTCTCCAGGAGTGGGAAAGGCAAGGCAAGAAAATGCCGGGATTCATTAGTGTTGATTACTCCTCTCCCCAGCCCAGCCAGCAGACCGAGCTGCAGTGGGTTTCTCAGCTGGCGAGAGGCACTCGAGGCAGCTGCACGGGTCACCTCAGAGCTTCACACCTTGGTGGCAAGAGAATCCAGGTCATGGGGCCCTAAAACAGTTCAGCATATTCCGAAGTACAAACAAACGCGCTGAAAACAAAGCTGCACAGAAAGCCGAGAGCCAGCTTGCCTCTGGCTGGCCCTTTGTGGGCCGACGTCCCGATCGCCGAGAGCCTGAGAAGGTTTTGTCGGAAATCTCCTTTACATTCAGAATGGAAGCGTTGAAGATGGTGGATGTTTTGGCCATCCGGCTGGACACGAGGGCGCTCCCACTCAGGCCATCCAGTCTGGGAACCATGCGCAGGGTCGCCAATGACCTTCATGAGTTGTGTGACTGGCCACAAGGTCAAAGGGACCAGCATCTCTTTCCCAACCTCTGTATCACCAGCTCAGGGCTCAGGGTTGGCACTGATTCGTGCCATAGAGAGAATCCAGCCTATTAAAGCACAGTCTGCCAGTGCATTCTTCACCCCGACTCCCCCTGAGCTGCTCAGAATTAACTCTCCCAAGAACTAAGCGCGGAGCAATCCACTTCCCTTCCCCCTTACTTGCACTGGGTACGCTGCCGGAACCCCATACACGCAGCGTCTGCGGAAGGCCCGGAGCTCCCAGATGCCTGGGCAAGGCTCTTCCTAACCCAGGCATCTGGAGCCTCCTCCCTCCTTTCCCGGCTTCCAGTGAGATCCAATGCTAAAGGCAGAATGGGTCACTGGAGCTGGGAAGGGCCGGCACAGGCTTCCCTGGGATCAGGGCAGCTCCAGTCAAAAAGCTGTGCAGGTGACAAAGAGAACAGCGGGGGCTTCTGCGGACGTGGCCCCGTCGCCCCGCAGCGGGATGGGCTGCTGGAGGACAGCCAGGGAGCTGAGAGGCGATGGAGCTGCTCTTTGGAGACTTGCACTCACCCGCTGTGACGGTGTGCATAGCCCTCCTGAGCCTCGAAAAAAGGTGCTTGTTTACATCAATCCAGTTTCAAAGCAACTGGGGAGGAAAGCAGAAGGAACAGGAGGAGGAGGAGGACAGGGGGTGACTTCTTATTAATTTTATTAGAAAAATGCTTCAGGGGATGATTTATCCAGCAAACCAAACACCCTTTTTATTTAAAAATTTTAAACTATCTTGTAATTTAAACTTTTGAAGAAAATTAAAACGAACAATTCTCAAGTACTTATAAAGGGTTTCCTGTCTAGTCTGGCCCCTTTCCTATGTAAAAATAATCATCTTTGTTCAAGTACACCAAGAGTAAAATATTAATGCAGAATTTCGTTTTGTTTTGTGTGTTTTTCCCTTTGCTTTTTTCAGCGCATTAAACTCTGCCACCAGAGGGAGCCAGCCAGGAATAAGTTAGGACACTGGCGGTTCCCATTAAAGGCGCAGCATCAGTATCCAAATGGAAGTGACGCTCCGTGGTTTTCCCGGCAAGTACTGGCATGGAGGTGCCCACTCCGGGTCAGCGGGCAGCGGCTTGGAACTGCTCTTGGAAAAAGGCAGATGCTTCCATTAAATAAATTTCCTTGTTAACAGCCTACATACAAGCAATATCCTCTGGATTCGGGGGTAGGGGTGGGGGAGAAGATGAACAAAAAAAGAAAATGAAGAGTACAAAAAAAGAAAATGAAGAGTAGGTGGCATCCATTTGGAAGGAGGTGATGAGGGTTGGCGGCCTCTCTGGGGCCTGGTGCCAGTGGCCGTCCTGGGCACCTTCACTGCCCTTCACTGGGGGCTTGGAGTCTCTATCCATCCCTGTGCCCATCCCAGAGACTCTCAGCCACTTTCTGCTAGTCTAGGCCAGGGGTGTCTTAGGGACAAGCTTGAACAGCACAAGGTCACAGTAGGAAGTGACCAGGAAAGGGAATCCCCAGAGAGGTTTGAACAAGTCTATTGGAAACCCCAAGTGACAACTGTCGGGCCACCTTTTTCTATGGCAAGCCTGGGCCCATCAGAGGTCCTTCCAGCTGGGCTTGTCTGCCTGGCCGAGGCCGAGGCCGGCAGGGTCCTGATGCCTGCCCTCCACTCACTCCCAACCATTGTCCTTGATCATGTGAGCTAACTCGATGATGAACTTTCCCTCCTTGTACTTCTGACTGCTCTCAAAGGCATGTTCCTGGACAGGAGAAAGGAAGAGAAGGAAGGTTGGGCCACGAGCTGTCCACACATCCACTCTAGCAAGTCATGATACAATGATACCTGCTATCTCCGTGGCTTTCTCCCTTTCACTCATTTACACTGGAAAAAAAAAAAAAGCTTTGGAAGACTAAAGCCTAACATCACACAACAGGAAACTGAGGCTCGGAGATCTAGGAAAGTATGGCTGTCTCTGGAGCCAGGAGCCCCACGCTCAAGTTCCGGGTCTGCCACCGACTCGCTCTGGGAGCCCGACTGAGTCTCTCTGAGCCGTGCCTCCCCCCATTCTAAAAGGAGCTGATCCCAACTTCTCTTCCAACAAGAAGCTCAGCCTCAAGTCCAATGGCTGACTCTTCTCCGGACCCTCCTCCTGGACTTTCTCTCCGTTTTCCACCTCCTTTGCAGCTTCCATTTAGGAGTTCTATTCCCTCATTAGAATGCAAGCTCTCAGTGGGCAGGGGCTTGTATCTGTATCCCTGGTGCTTCGCACAGCACCTGGCACAGAGTAAGTGCTTAAGATTTAAATGCTTGTGGCTTGATGGGGAAGAGGCACAGGCAGAAGGCAGCCTGCTTCTAAGCCCCGGCTCTGAGTCTCCCTCCATATGTCTAATCTGTCAACAAGCTTCCTACCCAGGCCAGGCTCTGTATTAATTCTGGCGATACGAAGAAAGGGGAAAAATTGTCCCTGGCCACATCTTAGTGGAAGAGACCACATGGAACACCCAGGTATACGAGACAGATACGGAGGAGCTGGAAGGGAAGTTGGGAGGGAAGACACACGCATACACCCTTCTATACTGTCCTGGTGATGCAAGCCGTGCTTTGATAATCTCTACATAGGTTTAAAATGGATTCACATCCCTTGTGATGCTTCCAGGTATTTACAATCATTTCACGGGGATAAAATCTAAACTTATTTCTATTTCAGAGCATTTCATAGGACAGTTGGAGACTCTTAGATCTTAGAGCTCCTCAGGGATTCCTCATTTCATAGAGAAGGAATCTGAATCTTGGAGAGGCTGAATGACTAGCCCTCACTCACACAGCCACGGGGGCAGGATTGGAAGCCAGGACTTCCTGACTCCAAGGCTGGAGGTCGACCGCTACATCATTCTTGCTTGCTTTGTTTCTCCAATTAGATGGTAAGCCTCTGGAGGTCAGGGGCCAGGCCTTATACCTCTTTTTATGGATTCCCAGTCCTATCTAATGTCCTACACATAACAGGTTCTCCATCACTGTTTGAGGAAAATTGGGTGCCTGCCCTGTGTATCCAGCCCTGTGCTGAGCCCCACACACTCTGTAGTGAAAAAGAGCAAACACCACACCCTCCAGTCACCTGAAGCAACGATCTGTGCCTAGGTTTTCCTCTCTTAGGCGGGGGGTGTGGGGAGCCATGTCACTCTATCCATGAGCTCAGTCTTCTTCCACCTTCTGATGTATATGGGAGATCCTCAGGCCTTGCAACCTGCCAACTTAGGAAGTCTGTAGGCATCAAGGTGGCACAGTGGATAGAGGACCCAGACCTGGACTCTGGAAGATCTGAGTTCAAATCTAGCTGTGTGTGACTCTGGGCAAGTCACTTCACCCTGTTGGCCTCAGTTTCCTCAACTGTAAAATGAGTTGGGGAAGGAAATGGCAAAACCACTCCAGTATCTTTGCCAAGAAAACCCCAAACGGGGTCACAGAGTCGGAGACAACTGAAAAACGACTAAACAACAACTTGGTAAGTCCTTTCCTCTGTCTGAGCCTCGACTTGCCTCACCTCCATGAATTCAAAGGGCCAGCCTCGAGCCCTACACGATCCTGGGGGCATTCTCTGCTTTGCCATCAACTGACAGCTAAATATTAGTTGTAGCTGTCTAAAGTGCATGAATATACCCCATAGAGTGTCATTTATTCCCAAAGAAACTATTTACAAGTCTGATGGGATTCTACTTTGCTTTCAGAAATAATATTTTTAAAAAATCATTCTATTGATCTGTATATTCTTATCTACTCCATATACTTAGACTCCTACATATATGAAATGCTTCATTACAACTTGCCCCAGGGAGCCCCAGAGTCCTTAATAAAACTCATCTCATTCAGGTGATTACTTACGTATTTCCAACCCAGAGTGGTTTTACAGTTTTCACAGTAGATATCTGCTACAGCGTGTAAGCCAGTGAGAAGGACCCTCTCCTCTGCTGGGCCACAGCCCACATTTACCCTGCAGGAAAAGGGAAAAGGCTTATGAGCATCACAGAGTTTTCTGAATAAAACTGGCTTTGAAAAAGACAGCATTCAGCGATGGGGATTATGGGATTCAACAAAAGGTGAACTAGTGAGACTCTGGAATTACAGACTTGTTTAAATCACTTCCTGTGTTCAGTTTGGTATCAGAATCAGGCACTTGTAAAATTCAGTGACCAGAGGCTGGTACATGGAGAGAGAGGATTCCTATCGTGGGTGGCCCGGAAAGACCACTGGACCGACCAGGAGGCAGGAGCCCTGGGTTTGAGATGCTGAGGAATTGACTCCTCTTTGGGCTTTCTTTGGCCTGTCTGGAAAATGGGGAGCATGGCCAAGAAGACCTCCGGGGTCACTCTCGTTGGGCGTCCCACCGCCTGTGCTTCTAGCACACCTCATGGGCGGCATGGCGCCTGGAGCTATGGGGGAGCCTGGCACACAGCCACCATTAAAAAGCATGTGTTCACTACCCTATGCTGGCCATGTCCATTTGGTCAGTGTCTTCTATCTGCCATCCGTTTGAATGATTCCTCATGACCTGTCAGCTCACTGGAGCGCTACAAATTCTTGCCTAACTGGGGTCCTCTGTCCCTATAAAACGTTTTCCGTTTGGTCTTGGCTTTGGACCGGTTTGGTGTAGGGCCATCGTGGTATTCTGGGAAAAAGATTTAGTTGTAAAGTGCCATGCTGGGATCTGAGCAAACTCCTCCAGCTTTGGGACCCTTCCCCCAAACTGGATGGGGGTGGTTTGCGTGCCTCGGGCTATGAGGAGGAAAGCCTTTCAGAACCTCCGAGTGCTACACGCGGGACCGTCCCAGTTCTTCCCTTTCAAACCCGGACAAACAAAAGTAGAAAGGTTTGCACTTGGTCACAAAGTAGCACAAATGCCTCAACCTTCCCACAGGTCTGGCTAAGTTTCTGAAGAGAATTTTCTAAGTGGAATAAAAGCACTAGGGCTAGGAGGTCCTGGCCCTTCCCCAGCCTCGGGCTCTCTAGGGCCTTCTGGGTGTGGGTCCCCCCATTTAATCCCCACTTACAGTCCTCAGAAGATGGGGAACTTCCTTCTGCCTGGCAGCGGGGTTCACACAGCTTGGCAAAGTAATAACATCAACAATAGCTAACATTTACAAAGCACCTACTATGTCCCAGGCACTTTACCAACATTATCTCATTTGATCCTCACACCAAGCCTGCTGTTATTATCCCCATTTCACAGATGAAGAAACTGAGAAGGAGTGACTTGCCCTAGTGGCAGCTACAAAGTGAGACCAGATCTCGCTGAACCCAGGCCCAGAGCTCTAGCCACTGGACCACTTTGCTGCCAGGTGGGGGTCCCTGCATATCAACAACTGTCCTCGTCTTTATGGCTGGTTGGGGTTAATTTAGCAATCAGATCACTTGCATGGCCCTGTGGGGTCCTGAGCCTCTGTCTGACTGTTGGTCACACCCCAGCCCCCGCTTTCACATGCCTCATCCTGATCCGTCCCATGACGGCTCAGCCTGGTCAGGCCTGAGGTCAGGGAGTGCTGTCTTCCTGCAATCTTGATCCAGACCCCCGTGCAGCGGGGCACCGAGTCCTGGGGTATAACTGTGCGGCTGAGCTCTGCCCTTCTCCACACTGGGAAGACCAGGATGAAGCCAGAAAAAGGACAACAAAGTCCAGTCGTCCTTATTGACTGGCGGAGGCCTGTTCTTGCTTGTAGGATCGAGAGAGGGCCAGCCCTGATCAAATCAGATTCTTCCTGAGCTGGAAGGGAGCTCCAGCAAGCCTCCTCAGCCCGGGGTCCTCCCGTGACAAGGTGAGGGTCTCGTGAGAATCCAATGAGATAATGTCAAGCACTTTGCAAACCCCAGATCACTACATACTTCATCATCTTCATCATCATCATCATCGTCCTCAGTCTGGGGTGGGGGACACATTTGCTATGCTTACCGTCACTTAACAGTTCTGAGCCAAAGTTTTCTCCTCATGCCACCTTCCTCATAGAGCAGTGATCAAAGGATGGTTAAGTTTTTTACGCACAAGAATGCCAATGATTTCTATAGACGGGGACAGCGTTTGAGAACTTTCTTTTTTTTTTTACAGGGAGAAATTGAGGTCCAGATGAGGTGAAATGACTTGTCCCAGGACACTGGTCTGACCCAAAAGTTTCCTCATTAGAAGTGAGAATTATTTAATCCAAGCTTAACCAAGGGAGGGATGTGTGGCTCAGAGGCTCAGTCCCATTACCAGGCCTGGGTCTCAGCCATCCCAACCTTGGAATCATTGAATGGCAAAGGTGGGAGGGCCCTTGGAAGGGATCTACTCCAATGGCCTCCTTTTGCAGGTGGGGAAACTGAGGGCAGAGGAGGGAGATGATTGGTCTCATTTCTAGGAGTCAGAGGCAGTGATGCCCAGAGCAAGGCGCCTGCTCTCTCACTCAGCCTTTCCACCCTAGACCGCCTTCGTTTTTTTTCAGAGAAACCTCATCTGCCCCGGGAATGCAGCACAAGCGTCCTGGGCCACGGAGACACGTTTTGCAGAGAACGAGTCAGTTGTGTGACCGACAAAGACTAAGCAGATCGGTCATCATTGGCTCAAAAAGCCCACAAGGTCCTTGTTGCTCTGGAAGCCCGTGTGCGTCCTCGGAGTCATGGGCTCTGCCAGGTCCAGCACAGCCTCTCGTCTCGCTCAGGGTGAGCATCCTCACTGGGCTCAGAAAGCACCGGCTCCGCTCTGCTTCAGGAACAATGCTGCCATTGACGGGCCAAGGGAACATCAGAGCGGGGAGGGACCTGAGGCCGACCTCCCTGAGGCCAACCTCTCTTTTTATAGAGAAGACCACAGGCTAGCGGAGAAATGCGAACTGCTGATGGTCACACAGCCTCTGCCAGAACACAGATGTCTGCTGGGAAAACAGCTGGACTAAGAGAAAGGATGACTTTTGTTAAGGTATTTCTTCCATTCTTTTAAACATATAGTTCTTGAGTTTCACAGCACTGTTACCCAAAGAAAGAGGTGAAACAATTTTCAAATCTGGTCTGACCTCAGAGCCTAATTTGGACCACAGAACTTTGAGACAAAGCGAGTGATATCTGAATTTGTAGCCAACGAACAGCCCCCCAGAGGGCCTCATTTCTGGAAGCTTGGCCATCAGGTGAGGAACTGTTTGTCCCTGGAGGCCTGTGAATAAGCACCAGTTTCAGTAGACTTCTTGGCCAAAGACACACCAAGTCGATCTGGGGCAGGATTCTGCCACTTGCTACTCCTAGATCAGCCCGAGAACACAAACCCCCAGACTGCGTCAGCCAAGACAAGCACCGTTAATCTGACTGATGTTCTCGACTGGGCTGAACACAAGCTTACGTTCCAGCCCCTTAGGGTCCCTCAGTTCAATGAAGAATGGACATGGGAAATGGACCCTCAGGGTTCGGTGATTTTTAAGGCAGATGCAATCCCTCAGCTGAGGAGGGAGCAAAACCCAAGGCCAGCCCCTTGTCGTGGTGGGGGTGGGGATTCTCATATGATGCTCCCTGTCCTTAGGGAATTTGTCTTAGAAAATGTTAGAGCCTCGTCACTAATCATGTGACCTTCAGCAAGTTCCTTCTTGGCCCCTCCCTGAGCCTCCCTCCCTCCCAGGGTGGCTTTGCTCCTCCACTGCCTCCTCCTGGCACTGGGCAAGCCTGGAGGCTCGTCCCAGGGACCACAAACTCCGGCAGGTCCTATAAGCTTTGGAGAGGGTCCCAGGGATTGGACTGTGTCCCCCCCACCAGGGGATGAACCCTTTTGGCACTGGCTACCTCTAAAGGCTCCTTAAACGTAGAGGGGTTGGGATCTAACTAGTGAAAGGAATGGGGCCCCAAGGACAGCACAGATCTTTGATGGTATAGATTGGGGGAAAGGTAGATCCCAAACCTCACAAATGGTCGCGTTCTCTGGGAAGTTCTAAAATGGAAGGGAAAATCATACGGACCCGGAATTCTCTAGCAGACCTATTTTGTGGCCCATCTCAACTTCTAATAAATTTAAAAACTATCAAATGAACACACACAAAACAATTAAGAGATAATCTGACATGGAATAGGAGAAAACTGCTGGCAAAGAAGGATACACCACAGATACTTACACAGAATTAAAGAGGTAGGCTCGTCCCTGGCTTCCCTGAAAAGACTGCAAAGAAAAAGCCAATACAATCTTTTTTAAAAAAGTGACCAAAAAGTTGTAGAATCGATTTATACTATCTGAGTTCTAGGGAAGGGAAGTCTGTTAATTGGCTATTTCCATTACACGAGACTCAGACAAAACCATTTCCAGAAGTGGGACTGGACCTTGGCTCCCACCGTCCCCCTTCTCCTAACTGTGCACTGAGCCTTCTTCCTGCAGCTGACACAGTCTGGCCGGGGCACTTCATGTTTGTTGGATAAATTCAAATTTTGCCTCTGAATTTCAGAACTACAGATGTTCTCTATTTCAGGGAGTGGCTCAAGGTTTAGCTGAGATGCATGGATACGTACGTATACATACACAGTATATATACTTTAAAAATATATACAGATATACGTACACTAAAAAACTACAACCAAACTGACAAGAAACAGCGTGGTGATGTGGCTAGAAGGCTCGCCTCTGAGCGTCCTGGCTGACCCTGGAGAGTGCCCTCCCTCTGGGCCCCGGGCCAGTCTTTGAGACTACTGGCTACAGAGGGATCGCTGACCAGCAATCAGCAGAGGGAGTTCCCATACCAGAAGTTCCTTACACTAACGGAATCACAGTTCTGGATTAGAAAATGGATTAAGGCTAGAGGCATCCGATCTACTATCCACACCTTCCTCTTCTTCCCCCTCCTCCACACGTCTGATAACTTTTCACAAACCCCCTCGGACAGCCACAGAGCCTGCGAGGCAGGCTTTTCACAGTGGGCTTAGGAGCTGGGTGGGAAGTTCTCATTCAGAGGATAGAGTACCAGCCCTGGGAATCCCCAGGTCTGGACACCACGGGGCCATTAGCTACCAGTGTCCTGGGATTTCAAGCCTTGGGGGGCTTCCTGGGGGCTTGAGGTCTGATCTTGATGTGCCAAAGGCAGCTGTGGGGGAATCCCAAAGAGCTCTCTGCTTTGGCGCTAAGACACGAGATCGAGTAGGGACCTTTGCCACTTGATAGCTATGGGACCTTGGGGAAGTCAATTTACTGAGCTACCAGGTAGGTCTCTTCAGCTATAAAATGGGGGTGACAATCCCTAGGCTGCCCCTGCTTCACGGGATCAAATGAAAGAATGGATGCCCATGAACTCTGAAAGTGAACCCTCTGATTGTGTTTTATGGGGTTTCGATGGCACCTGGGGTAAAAGTTTTTACCACCAGGGGTGCTCAAAGCCAGGAACTCAGTACCCCCATTTGGGGTTTCCCAAGTGCTTCTGTTAATTCAATAATGAATAATTGCAGAGTTGTCAGAGACTATGAAGATATCCTTACTCCCCAAAGTAAAAACTTCGCCTCCCGGGGGCTCTGCGGCCAAATCCATTTTCAAACCTCGTTCAGAAATCATGTTATTCTCCATCAGCTCTATGCGTCCTCTCACTTTAGAGGAGAGCCCAGAATGAGGCGCCGCTCCAAGGGGACACTCCTCATCCCACTGTATCCCCACCTCCTGGATTCACAGCTTCCTTCCAAGTGGGGTGCCACAGCGGCAGAACTAGGCCCCAAGATGTTGGGAGAAGTAGCCTGTCCTCTTAAGGACAGAAATCTCTCCATCCCTGAGGACTCAGCATCTTTCCTAGACTAAGGTGGGAGGTGCCTGGGGCACCAAGAGTGACTTGCCCAGGACCACAAGCCCGTATGTGAGAGGCATGACTCGAATCCACATCTTCCCGAGTCAGGCCAACCCTCTATCTTCCACCCCATGCTAGCTTTTTGCATGATATCAGGAGCAACTGAGTTGTACCATACAACCCATCCACTCCCAGTTCTGCCTCTGTCCATACCACCACCAGATGTGAATGAAGATATACCTCTTCCCCTTCAACTTCCAAAGGTCAGAGGCACCTCTCCCAAACCTGTTACGGCCCCATTTCATCCATTTTGCTCTGTCAGTGTTGAAGCTCTTTTTGCCCCCTTTTGATGGTAATAACTCTATAATGTACTCACAGTGCCAGACACTTGGCTAAATGCTTTACAAATACTGTCTCATTTGATCCTCACAACAACCCTGGGAGGAAGGGGCTGTTATTATCCCCAGTTCACAGATGGGGAAACTGGGGCAAACACAGGTGAAGTGACTTCCTCACCTAACCAAGTCCCCCAGCTACAGTCTGAGGCTGGATTTGAACTCAGACCTTCATGACTCTAGACCCAGCACAAGATCCACCTCCCTGCCTAGCCTAGGTGATCCATTCTAGGCAATCACAAGGCATAAAATGCAGCACGTCACAATGGAAGAGGACCAGAGGATGGGCTGGGGCTGAAGCTCCATGTCTACCATTTACTTTGTTTTCATTTTCCCCTTTTTAATTTTCTACAACCAGACATAACCTCAGGCAGATCCTGTTCCTTCTCCTTTTCTCTAAGATGAGAGAGTTTCCACTAGATGATCTCACTCTGAAGCCCCTTTCTGGCCTAAATCCGTAATCCTATGAAGCAGCAAATCCAATGAGACTTCTTCAAGTCTCAAGGTTACGTTTCACCTCCTGGGTCCACCTCACCTAGTCTTGCATGGACTTAGAGACTTAAAGCAATTAAAAACTAGGTTTCAATTCTGGAAAAATGAAGACCATAGGCTTTGGATTATGGGAGCTCCCCTCTGCAACCCTGTTCTGCTCTAGGAAGTACCAACAGAGAGTGTGATCTATACAGTAACAACAACAGTGTAAAGGAAAACAATTCTTGAAAGATTTAATAGCTCTGATCAATGCATTGATGCATTCACCAATACCATTCTAAAGCACCAATGAGGAAGCCCACCAGTCATTGCCTCGGAGTGGGATGATGGACTCAAGGTGCAGAATAAGTCTTTATGTGAGTGTGCTGACTTCTTATCAAGATTGGGTTTTTCTTGTCTTTTTCCATGGGAAGGATAGAAGGGGAAGAGAGAATAACAATTGCTAGTGTTGCAAAAAACAGAAACAGAAACAGAGGGTCACTGAATCTAAATAAAAGCTCAGGTGAAAAGTTCAGAAAGAGACATTGCTCTGGGATGGCCTGGAAAGTGACATGCCGAGTTTGAAAAGCAAGCTGCATGTCATAGAGATGGAGTTTCACATATCATCCTCTTTTTCTGTTCTATTCTGTATATAGAAAATATTCATTTTGGGAGCGTTTGTTAAGTTCAGAAAAAATACTTTTTAAAAAAGACTATATTAGGATACAGAGAAACTGCAAATAGATGTAAAAATTTTAACTGTCAATGAACACATGATGGGAGTCAAGGTCTGCATGAGTGCAGAAGGTACATATGGATCAAAGATCTTCTGAAGCTTCTAAAATACTGAAGATGAAAAAAATGTCAGTGGAGTTTAGAACATCATAAGCTCCTGCTACTTTCTGATTTTGTGTTTCTGCACCTCTATTTGCCACATCTTTGCCCGGATTGTCCCCATTTCCTGGAATGCTGTTCCCCTTCCTCTCATGATCCAAGTCATAGTCATCATTCAAAGCCCACCTTAAATCTCACCTCTTCCATGAAGTCCACAGTGACTTCTCCTTTTCAAATAAATTTTATTTTTTTCAACCAGCAAAAATCCGCCTTCTTTCTCACTCTCTCACCCCCAAATGAGAAAGAAAAACAAAACTTCCATTACAAATACAGTCAAGCAAAACAAAGTTCTGCATTGGCCATATCCAAAAAATAAAATGTCTCAATCTTCACTTTGATCTTGTCATCTTTCTGTCAGGATGTGGACACATAGGTTTCATTATGCCAATCGGAATTCCCAAGTCTTTCAAAGTTGTCTTTATAATACTGTTGTCATTGTATGAATTGTTCTCCTGGTCTTGTTAACTTTTCTCTGCATCAGTTCATACGAGTCTTTCCAGGTTTTTCTGAAACCACCCCCTTCATTTCTTAAAGCATAATAGTATTCTATCACATTCACGCACCATAACTTGTTCAGGTGTGCTCCAATTGATGGGCACCCCTTTGGCTGTATTTCTGTACATCCTTATTCAGAGTTTGTTTGCTCAGGACCAATTAACCCCTAACATGCCCTCCCTTCATATTCCCTCTTCTCCCCTTTTGAGTCAACTCCCTATTGAGTGAAATGCATTTCTGTACCCAACTCTGTGTGTGTTCAGATGAGAGTGAAGTGAAAGGGTCAGTCTTCTCCCCAACCCTTTCCCCCTCATTTGCATAGTCTTCTACTTGTGCATCCCAATTATATGAGATAATTTTCTCTAATCTTCCTCTCCCTTTCTTCACCTAGTATATTCCTCTTCCCCTCCTTTCCCATTCTTCTTTTAAGATGATAAAAAAAAATAACAAAACATTTCCAGGCTTTCTGTCTAGATTTCCTTCTATGGCTCCTGATGATGGCAAGGTTCAGAGAAGATCATGTATTATCTCCCCATATTAGGAGAAGGTAAACAACTTATCCCTTAGTCCTTTATGATTGTTCATTCATGTACACCTTTTTATATTTTTCTTGATTCACGTATTTGCACTTCAAAGTTTCTACACAGCTCTGATCTTTTCATTAGGAAGTCATCTGTTTCATTAAAGGTCCATTTCCCCCTCTGTACTGAGTTTTGCTGTATTCTTGGTTGTAAGCATGTATCCTTTTATTTCTGGAATATCATATTCCAAGATCTCCACTCTTCCACAGTGGTGGCTGCTAAGTCATGTGTAATTGACTGTGGCTCTTCAGTGCTTGAATTCTTTCCTTTTTTCCCCCAGGTATAGTTTTTATTTCATAATCATAAACTTGACTCTTCAATGTAGCCAGACTTTTAGAAGGAAGACAGGAATGAAATCCAAAAAAATGCAGCAAATGAGTGCACAAAGATTATAAGAACAGACAGGATTTGGAGGTGTCCCCCTATTAGCTACAGAGGAATGGCTTGGTGGTTAAGACAAAAACCAGAACAAAGCAAAGCAAAAAAAAAAAAAACCACACCTCATGGGAGTTGTCTAGTATTCAATAGTGATCTTGTATTACCTTGAGACCCTAAATGTTCCATGGC